CGGCGAAAAAAGCCAGGAGCAGTGGGGGCTGGAAGCGAGGGTGGGGGGAGGGGAGGGTTGACAGCCTCACTGAAGCAGACTCATGCATGGTTGTGCTAAAGAATTAAGTCTGTTTGATTTTGTACAGATAAAATGAGCATCAAGTGGCCATTATAGGGATGACTTACTGCATTAAGGGGCAGCCTCCTCGGGTCTCAGTCACAGATACACGGCACACGTGACGGTGTGGAGGCGCAGGCCTGTACGTCTCAGTGCTGATGCTGCACATGGATGAGCTTGCAGAACACCCCCGATAATAGGAGTCCCAGGTCCCACAAACACAACACTGGGAGCCCATATTGTGCAAACACCTCTTCAGACCGGCAGGTTCCAGTCGGAACTGAATACCCATGTGCTATTGCAGCCTGGGCCACAGGGAATCAAACGCCTTAAGCACACAGAAACGATAGCAATGCTCCCAAACACACAGTGGGGGCAGCGAGATGCCACATTTTACGGCCCTTATCTTATCGAACCTGAGCCGTTTGGAGTTTGATTCCCCTCGTAAAGGACGTGGCCTTGGCACTAGGCTTACACCCCCCCAGCGCATTTCAGGCTGTTTCGGAGCTTTATGGAGCAAACTTTACCCCGGCTCCCCGCAGCAGGCCATCTTGCCCCCCACCACAGCCCAGGTGGAGAGATAGCTGGGAAATCTGCGGGGTTCTGATTGGGCCGTCGGCTAGTTTATGGGAGCGGTTAAAATATGAGGGGACTGTAAAGGGGAGTGGGGTGACATCAGCGGGTGACATCAGGCGTGCTATGGACGGGTCGCTACAAACCTTTATGATCTGCAACCAGCCAGTGAACAATGAACGCAGGGTGTGAACTGACAGGGGGACGCGGCAGCAGCTGAGCTCAGCCGGCCTTCTTTAAAATAACTCATTTACTCATTATTTTTATGAGCCTAGGAGGTGGATTTGGTTAATTATTAACAAGGTCCTCACTGTCTCAGTGGAAAGAGACTAAACTCAAATTAGGGCAGAAGACAGTTCTGACCCACAGAGCTTCTCCCAGACACACACCCATAAGCGCGCGCACACACACACACCCCCACACACACACACACCCATAAGCGAGCACACACACACAGACCCGTAAGCGTGCGCGCACACACACACCCACCCACCCGCGCACACACACACAAACACACACACACACACACACACACACACACACACACACACACACAAACACACACACACACACACACACACACACACACACACCCACCCACACACACCCGTAAGCGTGCGCGGGCGCACACACACACCCGTAAGCGTGCGCGCGCACGCACACACACCCACCCACACACACACACCCATAAGCGCGCACACACACACACACACACACACCCCCACACACACACACCCGTAAGCGCACACACGCACACCCGTAAGCGCACACGCACACACACCCATAAGCGCGCGCGCACACACACACACACACACACACACACACACACACACACACACTAACATGCTGGATGCAGGAAATCTGGTGGTGGGGGTGTGGATGGGTGCACATGATGCCTCACAATTTATCAGGGGGGGCCTTCAGGCTGTATCCAGAAAGACACTGCAGCCCTGCCAATGGGGTCGCGGTATCAAAGGGGGCTCATACCGCGCATGTGAGGGAGAGTCCTGACACGCTTCCACAAACACGGCATCCGATAGCTCCGTCTGAACAGCCCTCACTGGCACTGGAAGCCCGTTCCTCCAGCTGAACAGAAGCTCTCCCCCATAATGCACCAGTCCTGTCCCGCCTCCCACCTTTTCTAAAACCAAAGAAAGGAGCTTCCCCAGGCAGAACAATGGTGCTCCTATAGTTACCTGTTCACACCCCCTCCCTTCACAAACACACACAAGCCCCGGGGGCCACAGGTGTGTGGAGGCCTAACAAAGCAGGATGGGGGCCCGACATCCTCCCAAAATCCTCAGCTCAATGCATCTCTCCTCTTTTACCTGTTATTTACCAGTTACTGCCGGAACTGAAGCTCAGCGATCGGCCGAGTGTGATTCGAATGCGGTCATGCTGTGACGCCTCCGTTTCCGAGTTCCCCGGCAGGAACGGCCTTCACGCAGATGCCCTTTGACCCCGTTTTTACCAAAAGCTACTATCCATGTGGGTTAGTGACACGTGGCTTTAGGTAAAACACAAATGGAGCGAATGGAGACCACGAAATGGAGACTGGACGCATTAAGGGGTCTCCTGCCCCAAAACACGGAATCACAATATTCACAATCTGATTGGTCACATTAGATAAGAAAAGATAAAGACAAGATGAACTTTATTCTGGTGCATAAAGTAGCGAGGTATGTCAAGTCCAGACAAACAAACATACAGTACAAAGCAAGGAGAAAGTGCAAAGACTCTAAACGGTGCAGACAAGTAACCACAGTGCGAACAAATTTTAAAAGTACACAACGCACAACTAGAACATCCTAAAAAAATGGTATTAAGGACATAAATAAATACAAATAAAAGCAAATTTTATTTGCGCAATTATATATATGCTCTCTGAATCCAGCTTGCCGGCGAGATCCTTCCGAGCCAAAGACGCGACGCAAGACATTCGAGCTCGTGGGCTGCTTGGCGGCGTGTTGGCTTTCCGGCAGATTCTCCTGAAGCTTTAATGAACAAACACGCATGTGAATGCCCTCCCCGGCCACGGCGACACGGCTCCTCGCGGTGATTCACGCCCCTGCAGACGTATCCCTGCGTTTCGGCACGGATCCATTACGGAGGGCCGTCACCACGGCGCCACTCGGTAAACACAGACCCGCCCGCCTGCCGCTGTGTGTGTTCGCAACGTCCGGGAATATATTCAATTTACAGCAAAACACTGCCCTCCGTCACACTGATTACACTGTAGCCCGTAACGAGATGCTGGCTGTGTCAATGGGGAGTGAAGCGGACGCCCCCACCTCAAGAACTACACTCCTCTCACTGCCAAATAACCTGTTACTCTCACCCCCCATTTTACAGATATGCTCGCTCTCCTGCCCCAATCGAAACCCCCCGGTCTCCATCCTTACCCCCTCTTTAATCATTTTAACTCATTTTACAGCCCTTGCCCCTCCCCCTAATCTCCGTACCCCATTGTACAGTCGACCCCCCCTCGCACTCCTTACTCTACGTTACAGTTAACCTTGATCGCTGAGATCCCCGGGGATCATCAAGCCCCCTGTCATTGTCTCCGTCCTACTTTGCTCAGCATCACCAGTGTCACCCTTGTGCCTTGGGGCCATGGAGACAGAACTTAATACCATGGGGCTACCCCATCCTAAAAAGGGGGAATGAACACCCCCCCCCACACACACACACACCTCTGAAATGTTGTGGCCCCCAATTGCAATTCCAAAATAAACGGCACTGTCATCCTACACCAAAAAACATGCAGAGCCGCTGGTCTGGGGGCAGCACACGCACAGCCTGGCAGTCATTCACACCCCCGGAGAGAGTGCCGTTACCCGAAAACCTAAGTCCATTACTGGGAAGAATGAACAAGCTCAACCCTCAATTTTCCAAAAAAAAAATTAATCACTTGAGGATGGGCGAAAAAAAAAACTTAAGTAACAAACAACCATTTGAAATAATCAAATGTAAAGTCATGAATCTCTATTGTACTCTGGTATCGGGCTGAGGAAATCAAGGCATAATATACCGTTTTCGCACTAATGTTTGCCATAATGTTATAAAATCAGTGCTTGTATTTTTTTGTATATTCTATAAAAAAAAAATGCTTACTCAGGAATCACTGTGCTTCTGTGTGTGAGAGTTTGGGGCCACAAGCTTCCCCAGACCGCCAATCGGAAGAGGGCACCGCGCCACACGTGCCATTAGAGCTCCGAGCTGGTGCATGCCGACAGCGTTACGCCTACGCACACGTGGCCAAGCCCTTCCCAGACAAAAGGTAACCTCATCCTCATTACAAGTCAAGAGAGCATATGAGTTCTGGGACTGACTGTAAACACAGAGAGATCCACGAGTGCCGGTGACAGTGGTGTTGAGTCGTTTGGCTCAGAAATCCCAACTGTTTGGCTTGTGCGATTTGTTCAGCCGGGCAGAACCGATAATCTTAATCTCCTGTAATCAAGCGGGATAAACTCTGATGGACTCTCTACCCAGAGCTCTCAGCTGCCAGCCTTAAAGCCGCCAGGACTTCCTGCCGTGCCCCCATCTCTGGTAAGGGCTTTTCAGAGGGACACGTAAAGAGGCTGAAGCATCGCTGAGGTCATGTGATCCATGGCCGTTATGTGGCCCCTCCCACCGCCCCCCCCGAGTGGGAATCTCTTCATTTACCAACGTGACCCACAACTCCAAATGTAAAACAGTGGACGGCCGCAGGCTCCCTGAGAATAATTTCTCGGCAGGTCACATGACAGAGAAATTACTGGACCACAGGGATACTCTCGCCAGGAATATAGGCACCACCAACAGACAACGTACCATTTCACAATTTTCACATATTCCACTTTGTTCTCCTTTGTTAAGACACACACAAACAGAGGTGAGAGCAAAGCTTGCGCCCATGGAACCTTTTTAAGCAGGTTAATGGCCTTGCACAAGGGCTCAGTGGGATTCGAACTGGCAACCTTCTGATCACAGGCACAGAGACCAAAGCCACATAACACCCCCTGTCCCCCTAGAGCCCTATTATTCAAATCACGGTCCTCGATGTCCCAGCACTGCTGGTTTTCCAGCCTTCCTTAACCTGTGAGCCTCTGACCAATCAGAATCAGCAATTATTAAACTAACTACCTGGGAGAACTGAAAACACGGCCTGGATTTGGAATCAGGTTCCAGATTTGAAGAGCCCTTGCCTACTGGGTCAGGAACATGGGGCCAATGCACCTCACTGTATAGTCAGAAAGTTTGGGCCCCCTAACCAGCTCAATCCAAACCCGAACCCCACCTCCTTCACATAAACACCCACAATGAGGGCCCTCCGGTGCACTTACCATCCTCCTCCTTGTGCGCGTTCAGCGGGCTGTGCATTCTATCGAGGTGGCCGGGACTCAGGTCGGACGTGGGGCACTGATCAGCTGACAGCCATGTGGGGTCGCTCATGTCAAAATCTTCACTGCTCACCGAACTCTCATCCTGGTACAGGGCACACAGACGGACACACAGAACAGAAAAGTCACTTCAGAGTCAGCGCCTACACCCAGAGTCATTCAACGCTCATCCTAACTCGACCGTGTGGCTTTAAGGAGGCTTCTTATGGCATCAATTAAACACTGAAACACAGCAGTGATGTCAAGAACATTTCACAGCAAATCTGAGATTTCAGCAAAAAAACAGAAAAGTTTTGACCAGGTTTGCCAAGTGACATCCATCATGACCCTCTATTGTGATGAGGTACGTAACCATCACTTTTCGAAAGTGCAGAATCCTAGGTAGAAGGTTAATGCTTTAGAGTCAACACTTAAAACAGAGGATTTTGGTGAAATCTTTCAGCTGTGTAATATTATATTAGACAATGAATATAGAAGCCTGAATTTCTATTCAGAAAACGGAGGCCCTATTAATGGACGCAGACAGACACTTCAGAGCTGGCGCTCAGTGCTCTGCGTACCGGAATTCATAGTAACCTGTCTCTTGACTGAAATCATGCCGACTAATAACAGGCAAAACATCAACCAGGTAAAGAGAAACCAAACGAAACCTTCTCAGCAAAAAATCCTTATACAATCTTGGCACAGATTATTTTGGAGAATCGAGTCGCTTCAGAATCCAGAATTCATGTTTAGACATTTCTTTTTTTGTCACATAAACAAAATGTACACCTGTGTAGTGAAATGCTTTTACACCTGCATCCTGGATTGTGCTCAAAAGATAATATTCAATACGAAAAATATACAAAACAAACAGAAGTAAATCAGATCAAAATAAAGATGACAATAAAAATAAAATAATCTATAGGTGTGACAAGTAGCATGGAACAGCACTGTGAACTTCAGTGCTCATTTAATACTGTAACAAGTGTTTAAGCTGATCAATGTGCAAACTAAAGATGTACAGATTACATCGGCCAGCTAAAAGTGTCAGCCAATCAGCCGATGGTTAAAAATGAGCTGATATTTTATTAATTTGGGTGGAGTTTGCCTTTCAATTTAAGCAGAACCTCCCAAGCAATCAGTATTGGAGTCATTTTTTAAAAATAATCGGCTATCGGTATCGGCCAGAAATTTCTTAATCGGTGCATCAGTAGTGCAAAAATGGATGCAAACGTCCTTCCAACAATACATCTAACAGTCCTGTCAAGATGCAGGACCCCAAGAAAACCAGCTTAGTGACTATGGTGCAAAAACTACACCTACAAAATGAGGAACCACATTTCTGCAAGGATAGTTAAATATTAGCTGGGGGCGGGCTCTGAGCAATTCACCTCTGCCCCTTCATCAAGACCTTAAAAGCTGAACACGGCTCACCTGCAGAGACACCTACAAAACAAGGTTTGCACCTGCTCACAGATCCAACCTCAGAATGAAAAACTGACACACATGCCGTTTACAAAGAAATCCGATTAAACTTGCTGCTCTTCCTGTGATGTGAAAGATCTAACGAGTATGTCATCAGGAAAAATAAAGTCAAGGTAGTCTTTTTAAATGATCTGCACAGAAAACATTGTTCTCTCTGCAGAGACTTTACCCAACCCTGACCACACTTGCATCTAGAGACACCCAATTACAGGAGAAACTGCAAACAAGCTCCTGCTTCAGATGGAGAAGAGAGTAAAAAAAAAAAAATGCATCGTGCCGTTTTTGCATCAAGGCTGCTGGCGAGAGCCTCACTCAGGTAATAAAATGCCAAGGAAACGCAGCTGAATCACCCTGCAGTTCCTCACAGCCTGACGCTAATTAAAAACTACCAAAACGGCTGCCTGGCAGCCGAGCCGACGTCCCTTTGCCACTGGGGGGGGCCTCAATTGCAGTCTCCCATTGGTGGAGTCCAGCTCGCATCATCGATATTAGAAAATTAAGTAATAAATCGAAGAAAACCACGGTCTAAACAGGCAGGTAACCAAACCAACAGCGAGCAAGCAGGTCATGAAATCGGCATTCAGAGGAGGTCAGGAGGAACGGGGTCGTAGTAGTGAAGGCGGAGAACCCAGTAAAATGGACCTTAGCAGAGTCCGCTGAGGTTCTGCTTATGGCCCACTATGGCTATGGCCACCTGAGCTGTTTTTGTTAGCTATTAGAAGCTAGCAAATTGCCAACAAGGATACCACAGAACACAACCTGCGCTCAAAATGGTCCAGCGGCAACTCACTTTACCCACTTTGGGCAAAAGTAGTGAAAACGGTGCACATCAGCGACATTTAGCATGTCGCTCTTTCTGTCGGGAAGCTATAGCAAAGTGTCTCTTCACACTCTCCACACCTACAAACAACCGTGAACCATTTAAGGAGGCGTGTTTGACCGGGACATGGTGCCTGGGGGAACGCCAGAAACACGCAGCAAATCATCCTTAACAGATATAACCACACAGGGAAACATTTACCTTATTATTTCATTATATTCATTTAACTATATTAGGAATTCTTAAACTGACTACTACACAGCAAATTACAAAAAATTATTCTTAAATACATGGTAATGACTTGTGTTATACAAATATAACCCCATCGTCCATTTACAAAGAATCCATACCAGATAAAAAAAAAAGTCATATTATATGTGGATTAAGGTTATTAAAAAGGCTTAAAAGTTTTTATATAATGCAGAGGAGAAACATCTGTGAAGTTTTTTTTTTTGCTCAAATTATTAAAAACAAACTGACTTCTCAAGAGCCAAAATGCATGACCCAGTAATCAGTAAAAAGCTGGTCAGACAGCAGCTTAGAGCCTCTTCTTCTGAGTGAGTTTTCGGGGGAACCAATGGACCAGACACAGGAAGAAAAAAAAAAAAAAAAAAGAATAAAATAAATTGCAGACAAAGCTGTTTACGGCGTGTGAGTCAGCGCAACAAAAAAAAAACCCTTGTCCTTCACAAACACAGAACACTGCAGGCCACATTAAAAAGAAACCTTATCGGTTTCGGTAGACAAAACGTTCACGCGAATGATAAACAATATCTAATAGGCAGTGCAGTATGCCTCTGTCATGGGTGACCTGTGGCATTTATACGGTACCGGTTGTGCTTTTAAAGGCTCTGCGGGGGGGTAATAGGGCCCCCGTCAGTCTCCGAGAGCCATTAGGCGATTCTCCTGCTGCTCCTCGATCCCACTTCATGGGAGACGGCTGACGGTCCTGTGCTGCCCGATTTTACATTCGCTATAAATAGGCGAGGCCTGTTTAAACGTTGCCAGGGAAACGGAAGCTATAGCCTAGTCGTCGCGAATAAAACACGAAAGGGCAAAGCGGCACTGAAACTTCTCAAAGGGATTTCGGGAGGCGCCCATGCGGGCTTAACCTCAGCACATTTGGGCAACTCACACACTGAACGTGCCGTGCTCAGATCTCCTGGCTCTTCTGGGTTAATACATCCCGACCTGTGTTCCTGTTGCCCCCGGAAACAGCTTCCTCTTCCCAGGCTTTCCCGTTCTTTTAAGCCACCTGAGAGACGTGCCCTAGGATCTCCGTAGAATGGGAAATGTTACTCCGCCAGGTGCGGGCGGGGAGGGGCGGCATTCCCTCTGATGGGTGGGGCCTCCAGAGAATCCCCCTGGCGCCAGAGGAAGCTCGAACAGGAAGAGAAGGCCTCGAGGGGAAATCCAGTGCCGCTGGACAGCCCCGGGTTCCGGGAATGTGCGGTTAACGTGTACAAAACTTCAGCATCTCTGCTAACATGCTGGGCACCTGTGAGCTGAATTTCACAGGCTTGTTTCAGCACTGCAGAGACCAGATGAGAGCGGTTTACGGTTTAACATACTGGCTAACCCAAGTGGGCCTCTTGGTCGGCAGGATGGATGTGTGCAGATTTAAGGTGACAAACTGGGAATCCCTTAATGACGGCTGCCGGGGAAACCGGAGAAAAGCCAGGGACCTTCCCCTCTGCCGTCTCTGACATTGTCCCAGATCAATTAAATGCCGACGGGGGGGGGGCTGGCAGCGTCCGGACAGCTTCATGTGGCAAAGGTATCGATGGAGGGCGCTCTCGCTGGGCCAACGTGCTGGGCGAGTCTGTGCAGTTTAACAGGACCGGGTTCACTGTGCCTCTGCTGAGGAGTATCGATCGAGAGGAAAGTCATCTCATCAAAATAGAAAAAAAGAGGCTTTACGGTCTACGGCATGATACGAGGGACAAAAAAGGCAAACGAATCCCCAGCGCGGGAGAATGCCTGCAAACCCTTGATATGCATCAGCAGTATCACTCCTTTCCATCTCCTCTTGAAAGCAGCACATCACTGAGACGGACGGTGATCAATTATTCCTTGACCTCAGGGTGGCCCTCATCGATTGGCCGCACACAACCGGGGGCGATGTCTGTCTCTGTGGTGATGCGAGTTCCGCTAACAGCTAACCGTACCAGAAAAGACGTCTCCACCGTCCAACACAGCCACTTTGCACAACTATCACTATACATGGCTCACACGTTAAATTTTAGGACATGCACACGTGGGGATGCCCTCACAAGCATGGACACGTACACACATTGTCTCACGGGCCCGCGGCTCCCTTCAGAGCCCAGCGGCTGGCTTGCCCTTGAACTGCTGACTGTGCTGGTCGCCATGGCACTACTGGAACAAAAGTGAAAAATACCAGGACAAAGACAGGAGGAGAGAAAACCTGTTCAGGAGCTTCCTGCACCACAAGAAAGCAAGATAAGGGGCTTATTCTCTGATAATAGACAAGGACAGAAAAATAAATACCAACAGGCGGCTGTTTACTCAGTATGGTGCTACTAAAGCCTGCTTTCAGGAGATCCTGAGCTTTGGGCTTTAATACGTAATGCCTGGTGCCATATCATCCCTCGGACACCACCGGGGGGAGTGTCTGGATGGAGGGAGGCCCAGAGAGTCCCCCACAGGCCACAGAAACTGCCCCGTCGCTGTTACTCTCCAGGGACGCGAATCCCTCACGCAAGGAATAACAAAGTCCGTGTTTTAAAACACGGGAGAAGCCAACTGACTGTATTGACACGCGGCCTGGACCGGTT